TTTTATGAAACCTAATGGATTTCAAAATGACATCGGATATCGATTTTCGGCATCTACACGTTGTCCCCGTTCCGAAAATACCCATATTGTAGGGTATTTGACGCTTTCTGAACCCTGATGGCCGCAATATTGGATTCCAAAATTGTATCTGATAGCGATTTTCGGCATCTACGCGTTGTCCCCGTTTCGAGAATAACCATATTGTAGGATATTTGACACTTTTTTGAAACCCGATGGCCGCCATATTGGAGTCCAACATAGCGTCGGATATCGATTTTCGGCATCCACGCGTTGTCCCTGTTCCGAAAATACCCATATCATAGGGTATTTGACGCGTTTTATGAAACTTGATAGCCACCATCTTGGTTTCCAAAATGGCGTCGAATATCGGTCTTTGGCATCTACGCGTCGTCCCGTGGATCGGAAACCAGCTAATTTCCGCTAACTAACAGTTTCAGTGGTTTGCTGCCGGTTGTTATTTCGATTCTCATCTATTCGCATGGTCTGGAGAAGGCTGGTATGTTTTTAAACTTTTGAAAATGTTTTATGAATTCAAGGGCCACGCTCACTTTACTCTTCTTCGCCAGATGGTAAGTCGTTGATGGTGGGCAGATTCTTCTAAAGAAGTAAATTTTGCTGAAACCGACTTGATTTCCTACTTCGTCTATCCTTCGAGATTTTTTGTCATAAATTTGGCTTTTATTAACTATGAAGAACCATCTTTTAAGCTCAATTTGTAAACAGAGTAATTGGGGAGTTTATGATGCATTTTAAAAAAGCCTTAAAAGCACCAATAAATGCTTTTTGATCTGATGAAAAATCTAATGGTTTTATGGTTGCTTTTATAATGATAGAACACGTTTATAAAGTATTTTATCAAGACATTAATAAACAATTGATAATTACGTTTATTCTTCAATTACAGAGCAGTTTTAAGCATACTTGTCATTCTCCTCTGTGAGAGACAAGAGCTAACATTCTAATCTTCTCGCTCGCTTTACTAAAATGAACCGCCCATTTTGTTATGGCAAGTTTTGCTATAGGAAATGCTCCTCGTGTTTATTAGCGAAATTCACATCAAAGATTGATTAATTGCGTAGGAAATCAGTTTAGCACGGCATTTGTGACCAGCATAAACATTCCGGTCATATGAAACAGGTCAAAAACTGTCCAAATCAGCAGACAAAAATTTTTGTTTTGAATTTCTGTATGGCAAAATAGTGAACTTTCCGTGAACATTAACGGCAAAGAACTCACCAACACTGGGAGACTGTGAGCTCCTGCCCGCCTGTCATTTCCCATCTCGATGCAGTATATTATTCACTACACCCTTACTGTGTGTGTAGTTTTTGGAATGAACTGCGTGGTGAGATTAGATTACTCTGCACTTGTGGGAACTAAAGAGCGACATAAGAGCTCAAAAATACTCTGCACTTAACTCACCGAAACTCACTCCAGAGAACATGGAGTGGAAGAACTGGTTGGTCCTCTGGTTATAGAGAAAGTGCAATTGTGAATGATTTGACGCTCCGTTTCAATGATCCATTCGATATTGGATTGTTCAAACCTTGTAGTCGTTGCCAATTCAATTCATCTTCTCGTTATACTTCAGTAAAATGCATCAAACTAGCCTTCATAATTCATTTTTGATATTTCGAAATGATCTAGTCTAGCTGATTGAAGCCAACATGGAACATCTAGGCAACCTGTTAATTTTACCATTGATTCAGCATAGGACTCTAAAGGGCCACCCACATTAGATCCGTTTGCGTTGCGTTGACATAAATTTGACAGTTAGACAATAGATTTGACTGTCACTTTGCCGCAACGCGTCCGATTTGGATCTAATGTGCGTGGGCCTTAAGGCCGCTGCCATAGTGGCGTAGAGGCGTGCTTAGCGTTCTATACAAAAGAATTCCTATTATTGATATTATTCCTAACATTCGATTTTACGATTCACGTGCCTCTTCGCTCTCAGTATGGTAGCGGCCTAAACGAATCAAGCGTAACTATTCAAATCGACGTAACTGCTTTTGTAAACAATCTCTTCAATCGACGATTTGTCTGAACTGCTAACTCACCCACGCAAACAAACACCATTATCAGGTAGGGGAAACTTTCGCCTACTAGCTGGTGTTGTTAGTTTCTGTGAGTGAGTTTGCAGTTGCCAAAAATCGTCGATTGAAGAGATTGTTTACAAAATCAGTTACGTCGACTTGAATAGTTATGCTTGAAATACCTTAACTCCCATAGAACCAGAACGTCAAAATCGAACACATGTTGGATTCAATCTGTGTGGCTGTGTTCCATTTGGTGAATTTTAACTTAAATTTTACAGATAGAAAAATTTCAAATAAACTTGCTATTGTACAGAATTATTTCTGACAGACCAAGAATCAATTTTGACAAACACCTTGAAAATCACACGATCGAAAACAGAGAGATTTTTGAACATTATACTTTATCTCCAAAATGTCAAATTTAAGTAAAAATTCAGAAAATTTATGAATTTTCACTGACGCTTCGAAAATCAATTTTGATGTTCGAACACCCTTATTATGATCGTCCGATTTTCGAGAATTTTTTTGTCAAAATTGATTCCTGGTTTGTCGGAAATAAGTCTGGGAGAATAGCAGATTTATTTGAAAATTTTCCATTTGTCCAATTTACCAAATGGACCGCAGCCTAAATGTAGGGGGGTTGACAGCTGTAGTATACTGCTAGTCCCACCATCGAATGGCATATGCTAGATAAGATGATGTTGCGACATAATTAAACAAATAAGCTCTGCAAACAACGCTCTTTGAAAACAATTTTATGAATATGTTACTGGAAAAAATGCAAGGATTTAAAAGGAGGACATTTTCGGGCAAAAGGAGGATGTAGAAAAACTATTTAAAAAGGGGGACATATACTCCTTTAGGATATTCATATGTAGTGACTTACTTGACTTAAAATGATCTTTATTTCTTGTATTTATGTGGTTGACATGTATGAATTACCAAGTGACACAGATGCGTCTTTTCATTTTAAGTTCTTATGAAATTGCAGTTATTATTAGTTACAGTTCCTGGTCCCATCAGGCCTGTTTAGAAAATGACCACCTGGGATGGGGATTGGTTTGTGTCTCATATGTAGTAGGTCCATTTTATGCTTAATATGCTTGTAGCAAAATACTCGGCAAAATAATGCATCAACAGCGCTCAAACCTATGCTCTGGAGAGTGGGCTCTGCAGTGAAGTTTCTCGAGAGGTAAACCCTCGAGAGCTTTTAGGTGAGTGAACTCGGGAGCACATTAAATTAATTTCTCTAGAGAGAGTGATTTTAGTTTTCACCACAGAAGTTCTCAATAAGCACTCTCTCACAATTGGCTTGTCGTGTTCCAACCGTAAACGTGGTGATTTTCTCGCATGAGTTGCAATGCATACATTCTCAGAGGAGGCAAAATATACGTACGCTAGAGCCGCATTTGGATGAAATGACATCACTGGTTTTAAGGAAGGATTGAGAACTGTTTTAAATTTATTTTCAAAACAAGACAGTTTTTGACTTTCGTGCCAGACTATAGAAGGTTTTTAAAACAGCAAAAAGCTGAATTACTAAGCAGGAATGTTTTACACTTTGAAATGCTGTATTTAAACTAAATGGATTGTTCATTGCCGTTATAAAACCATCATAAATCAGAGTGGATGCCAAATGGTTACTGAATTGTAGCTTGGAAAGTTTGTTTGTAACACCTTAAGCTATCATTTGGAGGTTGAGTTCCAGGTTTCAAGACAAAATGCTATTTTAAGACATCCTAATATGTTCTCTTTTTTGATAAAACATTTTCAATATTTTGAAAACTTTCCAAACAAACAATTCCGTTGAAAGAGTTTTTTTTTGTTTTCTTTTTTCTTGATTTGTTTTCCATCGATCTTGTTTTCCGTGCTGAGCACCAACGCTACCGACGCCAGGGAGGCAGCTCCCACACCTGGACCCTACCTATCGACCCATCTACTCATGAACTCATCACGCTTACCACTACACCACCGGCGCCGCTTATAAAAAAATAGCTGGTTTTTATCTAAAATCAGAATAAGAATTTAATCTGATATCAAAATAAGCTAACTGCTTAATATATGCTGTATTGTGAACGAAGTAATGTACTGGTATTATTCGTAAATATCAGGTCAAGTTTGGTCAAAACCGATTTTGAAGATTTTTTTTTGCTAATTCCCAGGCTAAAAAAATTTGAATCCCAGACTTTCAGAAAAAAATATCTATCATCCATGATATATAACGCTTCATTTATTTACATCATATTAACATAAATCTTCACAACTTTTTCGAACTGTTTACCAAAAACTCCAAACTTCAATTATAATATTTTCCAATCAGCTGTTGTTCTGGACGACTTTCTACTGCAATGCTATTTCCAACGTGTCATGAAAGACGACACGAGCTGCACACATAAACCTAAGCATAATCCCCAGGAACGCTTCACCACGCGGTACGAATACAAATGGAGCCATGTCCTTGTCCTAGGATTCTTCTTCCGATATGTCATTTCTTCTCACCCATGCGCCATGTATCTCTCCGGGTTTGCTCGCATGTTACTAGCTGCTAAAATAAGTGCTACTGAATACCAGCAACAGCTTCCATTTATGGGTGTTGAACAAATGAATGAAATGAGCAAGCAAATGAAAGTGGAATCCATCAATGCGTCTACCGCTCTCCTTCAAGCGGGGTGCAACTCGGATCTGGAATGATCGATTTCTACTCTATGAATAAGGAAAACCAGAGCAAGATTGATGAGTTGTTTGCTTCGTCTCCTCGAGTCTGGCAATGACAATCTTCCGGGAAAAAAAGTACCGTCTGCCAACGACACTCTTTAAGAGCAAAGTCTTCACAGTCAACAGCAATATACCGTACTTACGAACGTACCCAGCAGCAGTTCTCCTGCCTTCCTTCGTTCGTTGGTTCATTAATTTTTTCCTCATTATATTTACGATACTTACCCTCATGACAATGCACTAACGTGTCGGCTAAGTATATAAAATCACATAGATAGTCTAAGGTCCACCAGAGTGCCGGCGCCTGGCGGTTGATTTCCCAGAACACGGCACGTCCTATCACAAACACTATATTGTACAGTACAGCCAGCGATACCACCGACAGCCACTGGAATTAGAGGAAACAAGAGGAAGATAAAAGAATAATAAGTAGATACAAGAAGAACGGAAATGTAAAAGTGAAAATGAGTGCCGGATTCACAGATTCTCGGAAGCAGCTAAAACAAATTGATATGGTAAGAGAAATGGACACGTGGTATCGTGCCGAGATGGTTCTTATTTAGGACGAACGCACTCGTATGGATGATGCTGACCGACCGGAGCTGTTCGGCCAGAATAAATAGCATTATGAAGAGGCCGGTCCGAATTAGTGTGATTGATCGAGCAAAGTGCGATTCGGACAGGGGACCACCGAAAATGGGAGCAACTTTTCACGAGTAGGTAGTTGACCGGAATAAACGTTGCAAGTGAGAGGTGCCGCTGTTTGCGGATGGAGCGTTAGTCGGTATTCTTTTTTTTTTCTGGATTCCTTGATAACTGATTTTTGGTAATACAGATGTCATTTGTGGTCAGTATTTTAACTACAATATTTCGCCGATCATCCGAAAAAATCATGGCCGGGGTATCGGGGTTTGACTCATTAATCGACTGCCAAATCCATACCTTTCAAAAATAGCAAAGAAACAAACGGTAAATGAGAACTACTCAAATTTGAGTAAAGTCTATTCATAAACCACATGAAATGCAGGAACTCAGCAATGAGTATTGTTTTATTGTTGTTATACATCAACAGGCTGGATGATGCCCCAATGATGTTAACCTTATCAATTATAGGTAGTAAAAATACATTCAAGCGTGGTCATGACATAAAAAAAAACATTTAAAAAAATAAATTTTATAGTCAGTTACTCCTGCCGGCGAAAAACAGAAGAAATCTTTTGACGAAGCGCATCACGGGAGAGATGAAAGTCGAAAACAGATGCAACTCTTTTGAATGTTCTATGCAGTCCGCAAATCGTACCGTATCTCAAGTAACAATTTCGGTTTTATAAGGGTTCTGTAGACCATAATTTAGACTTGTAGCATGCTTTAAAACCTCCATAAAACTTGCAATGTTACTTGCGTATGCTCCATAATTTGTGCGACGTAGAGGCAGTCTTTGCGTAAGGTTATTACGAAGCGGTCGGGGTTGAACATTCAGGTCAATTTGCCTCAGGATAGCTTCGAAATCTGTCCTTCCTTGCAGGGTATCGGCCACGGTTAGGGCTTATGTCTCTTCTAGTCCGGAGAAGTTCTAGGTCGATAAGTTGACAACGGCTTTCGTAACGGGGTAAACGAAACGGATCATTCCAAGGCAATCTACGCAACGCAAATCGAAGACAGCGATGTTGAACAGATTCAATTCTCTCGGCACCGTTGTTGTAGTTTGGGTTCCAACCGCTGAACAATACTCAAGCGTCGATCGAACAAGCGAACAATAGAGAGATTTTAGACAGTAGATATCAGTGAAGTTTTAAGCTATCCTAAATATGAACCCTAAAGTTCTTGACGCCTTATCAACAACATATGCAATCTGTTGCTTGAATGAAAGCTGTGAATCCAAGATCACACCCAAGTCTTTCACCTGATTCACGCGTTCGATTGTCGAGCCAAGCATGTCATAGCTAAATATTATCGGTTGTTGTTTTCGTGAGAACGTAGTAGCGGAGCATTTGGATGTGTTCACTACCATTCTGTTTAACCTGCACCAACTAGAGAATACATTCAGCTGACGTTGAAGAAAGTGACAATCAGCAATGGAGCAGATTCGTAGGAAGATTTTGAGGTCATCTGCATATGATAACCGAGGAGCTTCGATGACCAGATGCACGTCGTTGATGTACAGTATAAAAATTAACGGTCCCATGTGGCTTCCCTGAGGTAAACCTGAAGTGGCGAAGAAGGTAGCGGATCTGCAATCTCCTATAGCAACCTTTAGTTGCCGACCGGTAAGATATGATCGAAACCAACTCAGAAGATTACCGCATACACCGAGCCTGCCGAGTTTTGCAATCGCAATAGCATGGTTCAACTTGTCGGATGCTGCGGATAGGTCTGAATAAATAACCTCCGTTTGAACCCTATCCCACATGCTTTCGGTTATATACGATGTGAGACACAGCAGATTGGTGGTTGTAGAGCGGCCGACAGTAAGCCCATGTTGATCAGCACTCAAATAATGCTTGCAATGGGACAGCAACGGTTCCATAATCACTAGCTCGAATAGCTTCGAAACGGCACTTAACGATGTAATTCCTCGATAGTTATCCACAGCTCGTTTCCTTCCTTTTTTGGGACGGGAAACATGTGCGCAAATTTCCAGCAAGATGGAAATATGCCACTGGAGAGAGACATTCGCTGCGCTGTAGTTATCGAGAAGGCTAATAGCTCCTGCGTGAAATGTAGAGCTATCGGGATCTGGGTAAAGGAATCCACTATGAGATGGACTCCACGAAACGCCTGGCAGATTGAAGTCACCACAAATGAATATCTCATCAACTGGAGTGGCACTTTCGATAACTGTGAAAACTGACCGACAGTGAGTATCGATGAGTTCATTGTCCCGGACTCGATCAGGTGAAATGTACAGAGTGCATAGAAATAGTGTGCGATCACCCAGATTGATGGCTGTCCAAACCTGCTCCACATAGTTCAATGAATCGTTCTCGAGGGCCTTTGCCTCCAACCCGCCACTGACAGCTACAAGGACACCTCCACCAGTAAATTTACGGCTGTTGTTAGGATTCCGATCGTAACGAAAGAGTAGATTTGCCTCATGCTTTTCCAGGTTTGTCCAGGAAAAACTTCCCGAATATGAGAAAAGTAAAGATTGGATTCACGTAGTCTATTGAAACTAATCATCCTTCGTCAATTTTCCTCATTTCCCGGCAGATTTTTGAGGTTTCCCACTGGAAACCATGAGGCAAATTTACTCAGCGCTGAGCGCCTGAACTTTTCGCGATTATGAGTGAACTAAACTCAAATTTTTGTCGTTCTCATTCGCCGTGCAGACTGCATTGACAGCACAATGTATTCAAATGAGTATTTATACTTTTTAAGCCGACATTTTCCGTATTAACGGGGTTCGTATTATCGAGTCGTTCGATTAGCGAGTGCCGGATGAGCAAAGGGATTTTTTTATCTAGTTCGTTTATTTGGAAGGCTCAATCACGTTAGCTTTACGGAGCCGATCATTCGTTTTTCATTGTTTGTTCAAAATTCACTTAATTCTACGTCTAGTAGGCGTTGGGCCGAATACTCGCGGCTTACCCGTGGTTAGAGTGGTACATTTTCGAAAGATATGATAGGGGGAGTAGCTTGGGATGGGGTTTCGTTGTCCTATCAGAGCTTTGTCGTCAGTATGAACGCTAGTACGGTTCTAGATTCGTCTGGAGTTCAACCGGCTATGATGACCAGTGGGCGACGATTAGACTCATCGAGACGGGGGACAATACAAACAGACACTATTAAAGAGATACAACAGACAAAGGTATTAAATTATTATACTAGACATTTGTAGTAACGCATAAATCGACTGCATATAGCATAGATCGCGGGTTCCCAACACGTTTTGGATAGGAATATAGGGCCTCGAGGGTATTCAAAAGCTGCGGCGTCATTATCCGTACTTTTCCAAATTACGTGATAAATGTCATCGTAACCGTTGCCCCACCGACAGATGGTGCTGTCCACGAGGTTTATTATATAGAGATGCCCATCTAGCGAGTAGTGGTTGGACATAAGCGAAAACAAAAAATCAAGAAGACTGGCAACTTTGCCAAAATCCAAGCGACAGATACAGTAGCGCTGCACTTGAGTGAAGGTAAAGGGCGAACACGAAATTATTGCGACACATTCAACATGGCATAACTTTTTTATCATTGGGTAAAAATCAACCAAATTTTGCACACTCTCTCATTGATGTGTATTGTGTACATGCTGTCAAACTCGAAGTCTTGTTTTTCGATTCAACGAAAATGGGGGGAACCAACGCGAGTTGAGAGAACAAATTCTTTCCAAACACCTGGAATTTCCTGACCTGTCGCACCGGCAGTTGGGAAAAATGTTGAACATTTACCATTTAACCGTCTCCAGAGTGTTGAAGCGGTTCCAGGAGCGGTTGACGTTGGACCACGGCAAAGGAGCTGGAAGAAAACCGGGACCGGAGAACAAAAAGACGGAGGGAAAGGTGAAGCGGATGATTAAAGCAAATCCCAACGTCTCAAGCCGTGATTTGGCTAAAAAGATCGGCATGTCGCAGAGCTACGTCCAGAATGCAAAGAAGAGAGCTGGTCTACATACATATAAGGTACAGAACTTCCCAAACCGCGATGAGCGGCAACAATCGACGGCTAAAACTCGGGCACGGAAGCTCTACGAGAAGATGCTGACAAAATATGGCTGCTGTGTGATGGACGACGAAACGTATATAAAAGCCGATTTTAAGCAAATTCCGGGGTTGGAGTTTTTCACCGGCAAGAGCAAGTTCGATGTGGACGACAAATTTAAGAAGAAGAAAATGTCGAAGTTCGCCTCCAAATATCTCATTTGGCAGGCCATCTGCTCTTGCGGACTGAGGAGTGAGCCTTTCGTGACAAAGGGCACAGTAAATGGCGAGATCTACAAATCTGAGTGCCTCGAGAAGCGCGTTTTGCCGTTCTTGCAGCAGCACGACGAAGCTCCGCTATTTTGGCCAGATTTGGCATCATGCCACTATTCTAAAAGTGTCCTGGAGTGGTATGAGGCCAATTCTGTCCATTTTGTTCCAAAGGACATGAATCCGCCAAACTGTCCGGAGCTGCGATTAACTTTTCTTTTGATTTTTGAAGTAAATATATGTATGAAACTACCCTAAAATCACAAACGAAGTGACAGACGACTAACTGGCGAAGAAATCCATTTAAATAATGTGGTTCACTGTAATAGAATTTTCTTGGAAGCTTGTGCCATCATCCACCAGATGGGTTAGTTTTTTTGTTTTGATTTGAACAAAGTTGATTTTGTGTACAATGATTCTTTGACAGTGTGCAAAGAGTGCGTATCATTTTGTAATTTTTTTATGCATTTCAGTTTTGAGTAGAGTGAAAGAGATAGAACCAAAACATTCTAGTACATTTGGTGAAAATGCTAGTTCAATCTAGTAGTAGTGTTGCCATGTGGTACAATCCAGTAGTAGTGGTGTTGCCATGTGGTACACTGAACAATTTCAATAGCAGGTTAGTCACCAAAGTTTTCGAGCCGCTCCGTCTGTCACTTCGTTTGTGCTAAAATTTTGGTTTGATTCTAAACATTATAAGAAAATTGGCATGACATTTTCGGTGTCGCAATAATTTCGTGTTCGCCCTTTAGTAGCAACGCATAGAAAAATGAGCAAATACACAAACCCTTCTTCTGAGGATGTAATCTTTGCTATCACATTCGTTCGAAGCATTTAACTTTGAGCGGCAGATGACGCGATTTTACCTGTCTCATAGCGTTTGTATGAGAAAATGGAAGAGTTGCCAGTCTTCTTGATTTGTTGTCTTCGACATAAGTCTTCTCATCACGCGAATGAAGTCACGACTTAAGCACAAGCCTTCAATCCACGCTCTCGAAGAAACATTAGGAATAACTGAATGTAACCATCGTTCAAGATTTCCAGTGTCCCAATTGGTTTGCCATCTCGAAAGGGTACTCTGACGCACCAAAAGATAAAATTCATCGTGTAAAATTTGCCTGGCATTTAATTCGCCATCGTGCGCGCCCTTTTTTGCGAGAGAGTCCGCCTTCTCACTACCAGGGATTGAGCAATGTGAGGGGACCCATGCAAAGGTAATCAAATTTGATCTTTCGACCAGCAAACTGATCTGCTCCCTTACTTTTGAAAGGAAATAAGATGAGTGACTATCCGAGCAGATGAAGTAATTGTCTGCGGGCATTTTGGATATCAAGGTTCCTTCATGCTTTTTCATGAATATCCTTTCTATAGACTTAAAATGAAACATTGACCACATTGGCCGCTCTCGGAACCACTAGGATATCCCCGGAGGAACCTGTAGCAGAGCACAATTGCATTTTTACTCTAAAACATGCCGTGCTACAGCTCTTTCTTCAAAAAGTAATACTGGAAGAAGCATTAAATTTCAACTAGATATCTCTAAATAATTACCACTGTAATATACACTGCACAAACGCATAAATACGCACAAACTACACTGACGGTATTAAGCAAAACTCAAGCCATTTTTTTTTTGTGAAGTTCAGCGTTTTTCGGAAACCGCAAAAAAAATTTCACATTGTTACACTTCGTTACACTTCCATGACCGCGGTCAAGGCAAAACTTTTTCAAAAATTGTAACGTAACAACGTTAACAAACTAACTCGTATCGTAGACAACTATGAAGTCACGCACAAAGGTGGAACATTTTCCTCAACGGCAAGTGTTGGCAGCTTTTGTAAACATAACAAATCACGTTGCCAAATCGTCTCATAACAGTTAACGCGAATCTCTATATTACTAATAAGAAGTGAATGTTTCTACTGAACTGTCACATTGGTTGTTTGCAGAATCCATGTTCAAGGCAAGTTATGTGCAAAACATATCAATATCAAATTGCAAATGCAATAGCACTGAAAAATTTTTTTGGGTTGAAACAAAAATCGAATGAAAATCATCGATCCAATCGATTTTTGTCGTGTTTGAGATCGATCCAAAAAATCGGTTACTCGAACCAAAAGAATCGATCTTTTGGGTTTCGATCAAAGATCGCCCATTGCTAGTATGCATATCTGCAATTTTGCCAAATCTGAGTGAACGAAACTCAAAAGAGAGGAATTCAAACGACTTGCTATCTGAGCTGTGTGATCTTTCAAGCCATGCCTCGATGTTGATAATTTGCCAAGCAGATGATGATGATGATGAAGCCCCAGATAAGCACGTGCTTTCAGTCAGTCAGTGGTGAAATGACGGAAACCGCACCAGAACCGTTTGCTGCCAAATAAATCATAATTGAGGCAAGAGCTTTGACATTTTAATTACCATCGATTACGCATGGAAGGGTTTGAGGGATCCCCCAGCAGCGATAGGAATGCCAAGATTGTGATTTATTGAATAAACACTTACACCGACGACGATGATGATGGTTGAAGCGGGTTGTGGTGCGGAGAAGGAGAAGGAAAAATGGTGTGGGTTAACTGCAAAAGACATTAGTGTTTGATCAATTTTTAATCGGGATTTCAAGGAAGATGGTGTTGGTGGATGTTTGAACTTTGGGGCTCTTTAGGCTATGGATCATCAAAGTAAGTTTGAGTTGACTCAACATTTAAGTTTCTCCATTTAGCGGCATTTATCTTAGCTTGGAGATCATCAAACTTGTTAAGAGCCCCATTTGCCACACAGCGTAATTAGATAGATTTAATAAAGTTACGCAAAAAAGAACTGTTCCGTTATTCGTGAACAAGAAATCATGATATCGAGAACTGCTAGTTCATCTGAATTCATGGCTTTGTTGCCGCAAACATGATTACATAATTCGGGTTTTTTAGGGAGCATCCCTTGGCTTAGTCGGTAAAGACGCAGCTATATAGCAAGACCATGCTGGAGGTTCGATTCCCGGTCCGGTCTAAGAATTTACAGGTTGTAAAATTTCTCGACTTCCCTGGCCATAGAGGATGATTGTACTTTTCACACCAGGGTTACTTCCAATCATTTGCTATTCGAAGTGGTTTTTCCGAATTATGAAAACATTAGATGTTATAATGATAATTAGTACTTGTAAGTTACAAGAAGAGGTCGTGAAGTATGTGTTTGACTCATAAAAGCAGTCAATATTGCTTTCCGTGCGTCACAATCAGTGATTTAACGATTCGTTAGCGCTCACTCTGAGTGAACGCTCGCGAATCATAAGATCGCTGATTGTGACGCTCTGATAGCAAAATTGACAAGTTTTATGAGTCATACACAAACTTTACCTCTACTACTTGCATCTTACATATAAAAATATTATTATAATATCTCAAGGGGGTAGACAGCTTTACTCTGAATTGCTTTTTGGCAGCGAGTAACTCACTGTACTTCAAAATTTAGTTGATATTCATCGATGTTTTTTGTCTGGTTACTCCTTGGCTAGCTCCAGTTTATCCCTTTCACATATTAGGCTATTGAAACGATGTGAATTGCAGATTATGTTCAGAAAATGGCTTGAACGATCCTTGAAAAACTTCAAAAGGGGGCGCATTGGCGTGGATTTTCATCTGCTTCTCTGTGCCGATTGGCTGCTGTTGCTGCTTTTATTGTTTTGGAAGTGACAAAATCGAAGTGAAAACCGGTGAGGAAGACGAAGAACAAATATTCTGCGTTCGCTCCAAGCTACTTCAGATGGTTCTGAAAGAGTGGAAGGAAAGGGTTCTTGACGATCTGAAGATTTTCAAGAGTGAATTCGATCCAACCAAGTATGAGATCATCGCTATAGACTTTGCTGGCGAGAAACCGAAGAACGAAACATGCTCCAAATATAATTAATAATAGTTAAAAAACAACTTTTTTCCTTATGGATGAAATATTTTCTATAAAGAAGTTATGTTCAACTTCAACGGAGACTTCCTTCGACGGCCGCAGCCAATCTCGGTGGTGTATCGCAGAAAACGGCAGGTTGTTGAGCGATGAGAACGGGATCACTTCGACGAGTATCGGAGGACGGCGGGGTACGTATAATTTGCCGGATCTGGAGTATTTGGTCAGGCGGATCGAGTTCTTTTACCACATCAAGCCGGTTGGTTGTAGTTGTTTTGCTGGACAGCAGTTTTTCATATGTTGCTGTGATGTGAAAAGTGAGAATGCATATGACAGTGATCTTGCTCACTGATCAATGTGAGTTACTCGAGGTGCCTCAAAAGCAACTCTAAAATTGCTCATGATTAGGAGCTGTCTTACCCCTTGTCATATCTCATTGTTTCATAATTTCGAATAGTAGTATTTTAGCTGTAATGAGTATGTTCAGTCCTGGTGTTGAGCAAATGAGGTGTTTTTCTGCACAGAGACTACTGAGGCATACAGAAAGCGAATTATAAAGAGGGAGAAAATTATTGAGATCAATGCTTAAAAAGAGAACAGCCTACTTTCTCTATGAAAAGTCTAAACAATAAAACGACAGCCTACTGTAGAGATCTCCAGTTCTTTTGTTTATCCGGCTGTATTCAACAATACCATCGATTTATCAAAAGATGCAAATATTCCACGTATCACATAAAAGTTGCAACCATGGCCTGAGCCTGACTGGTGAAGTAAGTAAAGTTGCAACCATATGAGATCAGGAGTTGCTTTGAAATTGCTCCGAGAATCAAACCGCTCTTCTGCACGCTCTCGTAAACCAACTTACCCGGTAATGCGAGGGCAGGGACGGATCGACCGACAGCCGGCTGCAGGTCCCATCCGAGGGAAGAGCCTGAGCAACCTGGGTCTGCTGCAACCGCGTTTCGGAGGCGGTCGTCGTGGAGAACTTGTCCAAGAACTGATCAGGCGGCTTCGACCGGCCCCTTTTACTGAGTCTATGTCGGAACGCATTCAGCCACCGTTGTAGCGAGCTTCGTCCTCCTGAGGATTCCTGGAAAACAAAAGGGGAGAAAATTTGCGTTAATACTCGATTACCTCACCGCATCTAGAATATTTGTCAAGAAATGCCTTTTTTATCTTAAGCGATTGCATTTAGTTAGTTACAAGTTTTATCATTCAGCTTCGAGCCATGAACATCTGAAACCCAGCAAAGCGAGAAGATTTATTCGATTTGCTGAAACTTTTAGCTTATCCTTGGTGCTGCTTGCATTGATTCCGATTTTGCCACTCTGGTGGTGGCCCGTAGAGAAAAGTACCCGAGCAAAGTCCAGCGTCAAAATGACAGCAAATCGAAATCAAATTTTGATATCAACATCATACTGAAATCGTAATTGCCCAATTTTTATAAAAAAAAATTGTTTTCAGTTTGCTCTTCAAAAATATGTTGTATTTTGTTTTCACTGACTTAGCATAACATCAAATTGAATACCTGTTTTGTTATCAACTCGAAACATTTACACCAAATTCAGTTTTCAGTTTGCTCTCACTCATAGGTCAATTAGTTTTCAATGTAATGTCACAGGGAGATTTTTTTTCTATTAGATTTTATATTTTAACGATCAAAACGACCAAAACGACAGCAACATGAGTAATCATTATCAGCGACATCACAACATCAAATTTAGTTTTCAATTGTATCTCAGACTTCGCTCGGGTAGTCATAGCAAAGCACAGAAAGTATCAAGCGGAACTAGAGCTTTCTGCATGCCATATATCCCATCGGAGCAAGGAAGAAAGTGGCATCAGGAACATTTCTACGAGTAATCCTGTACTGAACTGGGGATTTCTGTTCAAATTGGCATAAAGTGTTCCACATAGGGTAGGTGTACCAGTAATGGCTATTCAGGTACACTATTATGGTGTGTTTGAATTATGGTATATGGGAATTCCATAGGTAATACGGTGCCACACACACTAGCCAGAAACGTATAGCCATTACTGGTACATCTACCCTAGAAAGAGAAAATCGAGACAACGGACTGCGATTGCAGTTATGAAAGATGAATGTGGCGAGAAACCGCAGTATCAGTACTTTGGGAAAACTGTTCACGATTATTTTTTTTTTCGTCTCGGAAATGCTCATCTACTTACAGCCCAAGCTGAAGGATACATTCAGATTATGTGTGGGGAATATTGCGTTCTTGATTCCCACCGTTTGATTCACGATGACGACGACAACCAACGCCAACGCACGCATCAATGAAACAAGTTGATCAGTGGGAACGTCCCTCAGGGGACCATCTTGCAATTGGAATAACAAGATCATGTCAGTGACAAACGTCATCAACTCTTTCCTACTCCTACCAACAACCGTTCCGTAAAAGACTTTGGGCCTGATTGGAATTGTGTTTAGGTCAACTCAATCGTCCTATTTGCCATCGCTCAGTAAATTAGAAATTCTCTCGAGGTAAGTTTGGTTATGAACTCTCAAACTTTTCATGGAGGGAGCAAGAAAGTTGTGAGGATTGCTACTAATGGCAAACTGAATGGAACCGACATCGGACGAATGTGTAGTCAGTTTCTAAAACAGTATAACTGTGGCAGAGGAACTTTCCCTCATTAAAAACGGCGAAACTTTGCGGCAGAATTTCATCTGAATGCTACTACTGCATGAGCTGCCAGCAATTTCCTCCTATTAGAATGATGAAAAGTGGACGACTCAAGTTGGCCGAGTGACATTTTGCTTTAATTAAAGATTCAATGGAGCGGAGAATGTCGGGCTTTGTAGAAGAGTGGGAGGTCACGACTTGAGCGATTGTGATGATGAATTTAATAAAGACATTGCTTCCCATTTTCCTCAAAACGATAAACTTTTGGTTTTACGGTGGAAGTTAGTATACTCTTTAGGAGAACTTTGCTACAACTGGCATAACCATATTAATTTGATTAGTTTCAACTGGTGGTTTTGTTCCGTTACAAGAATGTGGGTACGATGGTGGTACTGGTCGAGAAACTTCAGTCAAATCTAGAATCCAAGCCTTTAGCAAATGTTTCTAATTTAAATCTCGATAACTTTTTCAAAGGGACGTATCAACTTTTGTGAACAATGCATTTGATCGTCGTTTTGGCGTAACTGGTAGCTCGCACACGCTTACTAACACCACTAGCAGGCAGGGGAAAATTTCCCCTATCTGATGGTAGTGTTAGCATGCGTGGGCGAGCTACCATTTACGCCAGATCGACGATAAAATTCATTGTTAACAAAAGCTGATACGTCCCTTTGAACCTTTGAAAAAGTTATCGAGAAATAATTGCAATTAATCATCAGGTGAATAAGTACGGACAATAATCCACCAGTTTGTATAAGAAACACCAGTTTGTTTAGTATAAAAAAGACTAGTGGAGATAGAATCCACCGTTGACTATGATAGATACAACGATTACATGACTGAAATTCACCTAACATAAAGCTAACGAGCCCTGTATGAGTCTTAATTCAGCCCTACATACCCTTTAAGGTGATTAAGCGGGATTATTGTATACTGCCCATAAACGTGAGTCGTGATTTGTTTTAGCATGGTTACCGGAAGCGTCCTTTACGTGATTCAAAGTTGTGTCGTTCTGAGACACATTGGCGTAGCTAGAAAATTTTACTGGAGGGGGCTCATGGGACATGTTTCATTTGGTGAATTTATTTGGTTATATTTATTTCAACGTTAGTTTAACGGTTTGGTGAGCCATACAGCAAATATTATAAATTAACAATATGGTTCACTTGCCGAATTCCTATATGTTTCTGAAAAGACGCAACAGCAATACCCTCTCCCGGTGAGGAAGGTGACTAAAACCATTCGTGGCATTATTATATAAGCGTGCAACCAAATCATACGTTTACTAAAATAAAATGTGTGGCATACAGTATTAGCTATCTCATGCATTTTATAAGCCAACCCTGACGTCATGACATTATACTACGTTTAGAATATAGTTGATATTACGTAACAAAATTGATAGGAAGCAAACCTTCAACACTCTAAGAATCGTTAACGGTAGTCGAATAACAGACACGCTCAGGAAAAAAAAACATTCAAAAATAAGTTTAAAAAAACTCAACGTTGGGTTCTATCAGAAAAGTGGCGTTAGTTCAAATTTACTCATAGGTGAACTCAAATTAAAATTTATTTCCTGTTAACTATTGTTAAGCTCAAACCGTAAATTTTTTCACTGTCGATTGATATAGTACAGGGTGCGTGACGAATTTTTGCAGTAAATTTCAAATAGTAATTTCTCATACTTGCGGATCATGATTTAGATATATTTGGCAGCACTGAATTGCTCATACTGTTAGGTGTAAGATGTAAACAAACAGTGTTGAGTAAACGTAAAGATGTCGAAACAAAAGAGCCATTGGTCAGCCGCTGTCGCTTTGTTGCGCGCCGGAGTAAGCGCAATAGAAATAATTCGGTGGATAAATGTGTCTGAAAGAACAGTGTATAATATAAAAAAGGCCTGGGAAAGTGATAAAACGGAGAACCTGCTCATACTGCTAATAAAACACAGAAATGGCTTGCGGAATATATTTCGGAATTTTGGGAGAAAGAAATTTGGCCCACAAGCAGTCCCGATATCAATCCGTTGGATTATTTTGTACAGGGCATCGTCGAACGGAATACCAATAGAACCCCTAACACCACACTTAAGTCCCTAAAAGCTAAAATCAAGGTAGTGATGACATCTATGGCTTAAAACATTGTCAAACGTGCATATGGCAGTTTCCGGAAGCGTCTAGCTACAGTCGTCGCAAGGGAAGGCGATTTTTTTGAATAAAATTAGTTACAACTTCCATATATTGCGAAAATCACATAACATTCATTGCTAGAATAGCTAACTGGTGTAATTTTTCTCAAATATGTCATTTACTGCAAAAATTCGTCACGCACCCTGTACTTTCGGTATTAGTTTGAATGTTACATTTTAGTAAATTGTTTTGCATAAAAGAGCAAAGGAATCAATTTTTTGTTAAAAGTACTCAAACGTCATGTTTTCACCGTGGGGCACTTTTCACCTATTTTCGAATGAAAGTCATAGTCAACCTGCGCTGCCGTCGATACTGTCATTGTTATGTGCTCCATCGCCTTCGTTCGTGCTCCATTATTGCATTTGATTGATCGTTAGATAATTTTCACTCAATGGATTATTGATCAACATTAAAGTCTGGAACGCGCAAAAATTGGTCAACTTCAAATTGGTGTATTTCTGGTAAAAATGCATAAAAAACCTGAAATGCTGCATTTGGAAGTTGAGTGTGTTTGCTCTCCAGTTTTCAAAATGACGTCCAAGCAAGAGGAGCAGCGTGCCAAAGTTTTGCTCGGGCAGCACGAGAATCCGACGTTCTCATACGCCAAGTTGGCAAAATTGCTGGATATGTCCAAATCAACCATGACAAACGTTTTAAAAGTGTTCGGGGAGCGTCTGTCGACCGCCAGGAAGCCTGGAAGTGGCGGCAATCCTGACGTGGCAGTGACAACGAAGAAGGTGACGGTGAAATATAATCGGAATCCTAACCTCCATCCGGGGCGTCACTGGCAAGCTCAATGTCTCCCGTACTACTGTGCAGCGGGCCAAGAAACGAGCCGGGGTTTTTTTTTTCCTTAATTTGTTTTCCGTCGATCTTGTTTTACGTGCTGAGCACCAATGCTACCGACGCCAGAAAGGCAGTTCCCACACTTGGACCCTACCTATCAACCCATCAACTCATGAACCGGGGACCAACGGCTTTACTTCCCGTGATCAGAGATGTTATGCCTCAGACGCCAACTGGGATTGAACCCAGGCCTGCTGGGGTGAGAGGCAATCACGCTTACCACTGCATCACGCTTACCACTACACCACTCGAACTAACTAGGGGAAATGTATGTAATGTCGGCCTAAATGCCCATAATCTGGGCCCATACATAAATTCAGCAATCGACTAAATTTTCAATAGCGACCAAAACTATCCATTAGTACCGTCCCAATGACGCGTTCATCTAGATAAAATTGATAAACAGC